TCCGCCCCTTGCCGCTGGCTCTGCTCCTTGGGCCGCGCCTTGGACTTCTCCTTGGACTTCTTACTCTTCTTCTTGAGAGTCAGCCTGCTCAGGGCGCCCCTCAGCACCTCCCTGCGCCTGCTGTCCACGGCGCCGGGGCTGCTGAACAGCTCCACCGCGATGGCCAGGAGGATGCGGCCGCGGTAGAAGATGCCCTCGCCCAGGCCCTGGTTCAGATCCTTGTGCACGTCACGCAGAGCCGAGTTCTGGGGCGAGCCGTACAGGTGCACCCAGGTCGGCCCGAAGGTGGGGTTAAAGCCTGCGGGGACCGAAACGCTGCCGTCACATGCCGCCAGGTTTGCCGGCCCTACCCCCACCCGTCCCCCACCCACAGACCCACATGGCTAACCCCACCGGTACCCCACCCACAGACCCACATGGCTAACCCCACCAGCACCCCACCCACAGACCCACATGGCTAACCCCACCTGTCCCCCACCACTACTCTACCCACAGACCCACATGGCTAACCCCACCGGTACCCCACGCACAGACCCACATGGCTAACCCCACCGGCACCCCACTGGTACCCCACCCATAGACCCACATGGCTAACCCCACCGGCACCCCACTGGTACCCCACCCACAGACCCACATGGCCTAGCCCCACCGGTCTGCCACCACTACTCGATCCAGACCCACACAGCCAGCCCCACCAGCCCCACACCGGTACGCAATCCACAGACCCACATATCCAACCCCCACCAGCCCCACACCAGTACCCCACCCACACATGGCCTAAACCCAACAGTACTCCACCGGCAAGCTAGCCACAGACCCACATGGCCTAGCCCCACCGGTACCGGCAGTGATCATGAGATGGTAGATTTCAGGATCCTGACCAAAGGGAGTAGTAAAATACACACCCTGGACTTCAGAAAAGCAGATTTTGACTCCCTCCAAGGTCTGATGGGCAGAATCCCCTGGGATGTTAACATGAAGGGGAAAGGAGTCCAGGACAGCTGGCAGTATTTTAAAGAAGCCTTATTGAAGGGACAGAAAGAAACCATCCTGACGCGTCGCAAGAGAGGCAAACATGGTAGGAGGGGGCTTACAGGGGAAATCCTTGGTGAACTTAAGCACAAAAAGGAAGCTTACAAAAAGTGGAAACTTGGACAAATGACCAGGGAGGGGTTTAAATGTATAGCTTGAGAGTCCCGGGAGTTTATCAGGAAGGCAAAAGCACAGATGGAATTGCGACTGGCTAAGGATGTGAAGGATACAAGAGAGGCAAACATGGTAGGAGGGGGCTTACAGGGGAAATCCTTGGTGAACTTAAGCACAAAAAGGAAGCTTACAAAAAGTGGAAACTTGGACAAATGACCAGGGAGGGGTTTAAATGTATAGCTTGAGAGTCCCGGGAGTTTATCAGGAAGGCAAAAGCACAGATGGAATTGCGACTGGCTAAGGATGTGAAGGATAACAAGAAAGGTTTCTACAGGCATGTTAATGAGAAGAAGGTGATCAGAGAGGGTGTGCGGCCCCTACTGGATGAAGGAGGTAACCTAGTGACAGATGATGTGGGGAAAGTTGAAGTACTCAACGCTTCTTTGCCTCTGTATTCACGGACAAGGTCGGCTCCTGGACTTCTGCGCTAAGTGACGCAAGATGGGATGAAGATGGACAGCCCTTGGTGGGTAAAGAACAGGTTAGGAACTATTTAGAAAAGCTAAACGTACACAAATCCATGGGTCCAGA